GACAAATATTACCCTAGACATTGATATCCTGTTGTTGTTTTGCATTTAATTGTCACGTATGGAGTATGTATTTTGGTTTTGGTAAAGCGTGGCGGTCTGCATGCAGAGCCGCCGGAACAGCTTTAATGTGTGGAGTTGCGTGAACCCGCAGTATTCTGGGTTAACATGTCTGCATGCACAGTGTGTAGGCATGTTTTTAACGCCATAAATAAGTTATGAGTGAGACACCAGAGACGGGAGCCCTGGATATATGAATGTACAGTATGTGTTTGAGTTCTGCAGGAGGAGTGCATACGTGCATGTGTGTCCACTCCAGCGAGTTTCTTGACGTGATGGCTCGTGAAGTATTGGACTTTGGTTGAACTGGTTGAATAGATGCCTGCTGCTACTCTGCACTGCTGTCGGTATCTTTTGACTTCCAGGCTTTCGTGACACTTCAAAGGGAGGCCAGCAGTCAAAGTTCTGCAAAATTAGGGCCACACATGACTGGAAAGTAGATTTTGGTGTCATGCTTAAAGTGAATCTTTTGCAGCAGCCTCTGAGTGGCAATTGCAAGATGATTAACATGAAAGAAAGTGTTGGACAAGAGCAAAAGACTCATCATGACAGTCAACACACACAAGACCGTATGGGTTAGTAGCCCAAGAGCATTAGTACACACTACTCTGGTGTTTTAGAGACCTTAAAACTTAGACTTTTGGTTTTAATTTTCATCTGGATCACTGACTGCATAAAAAAGATGTACACATGATGTCACTATGGCATCTCTGATTGGTTGATGAACTGCCATTTTGAACCCTGTAGTTTGGAATTTGCCCGTTGCTATCGTTCTTTTGAAACCAGATGTGACAAGCGAAGAGTGGATCTGACTGAGGACTCCAGGACACCACGTACACTGATCCTGTAGCGATTTGTCCATCACAGTGTAACCACAGCCTAAAGCATACCCTGTATTCTTCTAAATGGGACCATAAGTTAGTAAATGAATACCATGCTGTGTTGAATGAGACTTGAAATAGTTATTTAGACTATAGACTCATTAAGAAAATGTTTACTGAAGTAATAGATGAAGGAAGAAGTTGCACCATTTTCTCATAGACTTCTATACAATGACACTTCTTTTATTAACCAGAGGAGTCGCCTCCTGCTGGCCAGTAGGGAAAATGCAGGTCACTTTTACATTGACTTCATGTTTTAGACCTGGGTGCTACATCCATCTTTTAGGGAAGGGCAGAAATTGAGTTTTCAAAATGGTGATGCAGACAACTATGTTTGCTTTCTAAATTTCTCTGTATGTTGTGGCCTAACTCATCATGCTCGTGTCACGTGACTACTTTCTGTAAGAAGACAAACACCTGAGCCTTGGCTACCAGCAGTTAATTTAACAAAGTGCAGGCGTTGCTGGCCTCGTTGTCTCGCTAGCAGCTGTTGTGCAGTGAATTAAATCTCTGGTCTTACTGTAGCTGTTCTTCATCTGTTGTGTTATTTACAGACCAGCTCATGTTTACACCTACAGTGTATGTCCAGTGTTTGTGAATGGTCGAGTGAAATGCGGTTTCAGGCCTGTTAATGCACATGAAGACTATTTCTAAAACCAAAACACGAGTCTAGACAGATTGTTTTTGTTTTAAATAAAATGAAAATGTATTAGCGTGGATGCTACCTCACGAGACTAATTGTATCCACAGAAAAGGGTCCATTAACATTTTCACTTTTCCGTTGTGGTTTAAATCACCATAAATCACCATAAATCAGACAAAAGAAGCAGATGACCTCATGTGGCTTTTAAGACACAACGGGAATTCGTCCTGACTGTTGACTGTTTGTCATCACTGTCTGAATGATAAATTGACTCATTCAGGACTGAAGGTGCACTCCACCGATCTTGCCCAAGAGGTTTGCTTAACTAGTCACTTGGAATGTGAAAACAGCTATGGTAGGGTTTTTCCAAAGTTTGTAAAATTTTCTTGACTGGAAATTTTCAGCACAAACCCTGAGTTACAGGTGAGAGTAGCAGGAATGGGGGCTCTAATGAAAGGTTCAGATTTGTTGTGAAATGTAGAACCTACTGTTTTTGGAGCTTGACTCATGCTAGGAAGTGAATGTCAGATTATCTTGGCCTGTGCTGCTTCAGTTTTGACAGTCCAATACTAGACCTGCTGTAGTGCTCCTATCAGACTCTTCATGATCATTTTTTTCTGCCTAACCTCTTGGATGGATGCTCTCATAGCAGAACCCTCTTTCAACAAAAATGCCTAAAGATATACATATATACAGTAAATATGAGTTCCCGTATACACAAAAAAAAGCCACACCCATTTATTTCAGCGTTCCCTTTCTCTCTCATCTGACCCAAAAATATCTCCTTTCTCCCGTGGGGGTTTATTTTTTTTTTCTCCCCTTTTCAAAACATGGTTTTCCCAGACATTCTTTCCGAGATGTGACGCATGGAGTGTGTATGTCTCATAGTTACGACCCCTGAGAGTTAAAAATACTCTGCGGCGAGGGTTGGCTGAGGTCTCCTCCATACTCACCCCCTCTCTCTACTCCTACACTTTCGGTCACAAAGTCAGACATGCAGGCCGTCATGCTGCTATCTGCTGACGGCTTTACTGTCACCGCAGAACACACACGAACCCACATGTTTTTACACCATGGTATCAAGCTGTCTGCTGTTATCTGAGGCGCTGTGGGATGACATGATGACTCGGAGTTGTTACTGTAAGGCACGATTACTTAAAAAACAAGCACCGAGTGTAATCGCTTGCATTTTTCACCTTCGAGATGATGAATGCTAAATAATTTAGTGGCTTCAGTAGTCTGCGTACCATCAGAGAGTACGAGATTTCGCAAAATGTTCCTTCTTCCATTTCTATTTTTGAATGCCTTTATTTTCTTTGTTTCAGATCACATGAATCTCAATTTCCACACGAGTACACGAAGCCACAATTTCAGTATAGATGAAGGAAATTGGGCAACGTGCTTTTCCTCTTCTTATCCGAATCCCTTTATGAATCACTGTACAATCAGCAGGCAGCAGTCTGCTTATCAGTAGGCACAGACTCAGAATCACAGCTACCTCTCAGCCCGGCAGACAGTCTGTCTTACCAGTCTGGAGGTTTTAAAATGCAGCCTCATGTCTGTAACCTTTCCACAGAAGAATATTTTTTTCCCCCCTCTAATTCAAATGGGATGGGACACGTCGGATGGAGATGGAGTTTGACAGGCATACACAGACTCCCTTGCCCCGTATCGATCCATTATACAGAGGAATACGCCTCTTAAGAGCAGCCAGCTCCGGCTGTCCTGTTGAATAAACATGGCGATTCACTCTGCGTGTCTCACCAGGGTGTGCGTGCGTGCATGTGGATGTCTTTGAGTGACTTTCCAATGTCAGCAGACAGGCGTAGTGAAAAGGGTTAAGCATTGTAGTGGAAAAATACGCATTCACAGCGAGTGGAGGGAAAATGGTGTAACTCGGAGAACAGTGAGAGTGAGGAGAAGTCAGCCACAGATGAAGGCACATAGACAGACTGAGGAGGAGGAGACGGATGGAAAGAGCACGAGAAATTTGTCTTACCATGTTTTGAGATGATAAATTTGTAATTTGTGTATTTTGGACGATGTTTGTGACATTTTATCCACAAGTATGTCAAGTATACGCGTCGTATGTATCACTCAGGATACTCATTACACAGAGCAGAATAGAATAGAATAGAATAGAATAGAATAGAATAGAATAGAATAGAATATCCTTTATTCATCCCACAAGGGGAAATTTGCAACGTTACAGCAGCAAAAAAAAAAGAAAAGCAAGAAAACACGACTATATATTAAAGAGTGGAGGTATATATACAATATGAATGAGAAAAACTGAAGAACACAAGGATTACTAACATAAATTTACATGAATGTTTTTTCGCAGTGATTCTATAGAACAATTTTAGTTCCATAAAGAACCTTTACACAAGAGATTCTTTAAAGCACCATTGCTGCGAAGAGCTCTTTGAAGAACCCCCAAAGGTGCTTCAAAGAACCATCAAAAATGCTTTATTTAAGCCACATAATTGGTGCTCCAAAGAACTTTAGCCGAAATAGGTTCTTTTAGGAACTGTTTTCTGGATAGTTCTTTGCAGACCCACCTGGTTCAGTAAAGAACTTCTTTTTAAAAAAAATAAATGGTACTTTGATTATTTTAAAGCAATTTTTTATATGTACATTAAAAAAAAACAAGCACTTGAACACAGCTGTTGGTCATTTATTAACTGAGTCACTCTGAGGGGGAACATAGACCCCTAGAACCTTCTGTTAACCTGTAGATCCAAACTAAAAATCAAGAAACACATAAAGCGTCTGACAGGTTTAGTCACACTTTATATCGTTAATTCACATTTTGGGTTCTGGACTGTTGGTCAGACAGAACCAGTTACAAGATGACAGCCTGGGATGATAGAAACTGTGATGTTCTCTCTGTTTTCTTAAGATTATACGATTAATTAAGGATATAATCTTATAATACCTGCCAGTAAATACCTCCAAAACAAATAATAAAAAAAGAACCTTTTGTACTTTAAAACAACATAATGTACATGAAGACCTATTCCCTAAATAAAGTGGATCTTTAATTGGTGATGGTGCTTTGAAGAGTGTCTTCAGAAGTTCATTTTTCTCAGAGTACCTGTTCAGGGTAAAGTTTCAAACTCTCTCTGCCTCTTTCTCGTCATCATATTTCTGGCTCCGCTCACTTCCTGAGTGCGTTGACCAGCTCTGGGAAAGGTTGACAAGGGGTCAAAGCTCTGAACAAAACACAGTGCAGCATTTAGCAGTTCCTCCCTCCTTCAGTTCACTCTCTCTCCTCGTTTCTCATTGACTGTTTATTGCTTCCCCTCCTCCCCGTCCCTCCCTCCTCTCTTTGGAGGTGTGTCCATCAACATCTGGAGAAGCAGGGCCGCTCGGTGACAACGGGAGCTCATTCACTCCCCCGATCGCCCTCCCTCTCCTCTCTCTCTCCTCTCTCTCTCTCTCTCTCTCTCTCTCGCTCTGCCTCGCTCTAGCGCTCTGTATCTGTGTTTGCCGTTGTGGAAGTCAGATTGCACAGTGAGGAGATGCTGGCAGCTGACTGTGGAATGAGCTCACAGAGAGACGCACCAACGTGGAATTATTATCAGGCTTATCAAGGAGACCATGGCAGCATCTTGTCCTCCTCCCTTTCATCACTCTTCCCTCTTTTGAAGTGACCAAGTTTTTTTTTTTTTTTTCTCTGCCTGTGAATTCCCCGGAGCGGGTTCTGCAGCACCTGGTCCAGTGATCAGTTCAGGTTAGGTGGGGATCCGTCCTCCCCTCCTCCTCCTCGTTTTACGCGGCGCACTTCCGCCACCTGTGCTTTTGGTGGAAAAGGGGGGTATCCAGAGGCTTTGGGATGACGGAGATCCTGGTATCGGATGTAAACTTGAACTCGGTGTGTGAGCGTCTGGAGCAGCACTGCTGCGTGGACCAGAACCAGCACAATCTGTCCAGCCAGCCGCAGACCCCCGTGCTGAAGAGACACAGCAACACCGGGGCCAAGCTATGGGGCCGCGTCCGCAGCAAACTGCTCAGACAAAAGGTCTCTGACTGACACATGCACACACACACTCATGCACAAGCTGCGTTTTCTCTCTTTTATCTTCTCTGCCTCGTATTTGTTCTCTCCTGTTTATCACTGTGTCACTTCCATCTGTTTGCTCTGCCTCTCCTTTATGCCCTCTGTCCATGTGTGCGTTCTCTCCCCGGGTGTCTTTCTTTCAGTGCGGAGTTGACTATTGTTCTTATCTGATGGGTCTGTTGACTGCAGTGGAGACAGTGATGGTCGTGATGGCTAAACTGTGACCTGTGCAGCTACTCTTAAGTAATGAAGGAGATTTAACTTATATTTATCTGATTTGATTCAAACTACAGCTGAACAGTTTGGGGGTTGCAGTTTTCTGACTGGTATTCTGATTATGATTTGACTTATGATAGAATTTTTTGAAGTTAAGCAACAACGTTCGCTGTGTAAAAGATTTAAAAGATGAAGTATCACCACATCAGACACACATCAAAAGCGTGACTGCCACAAAAAAGGACAGCATACATTTTTAAAACCCACTGACAGTTCAAACCCTGGATCAGGACGCATATGTCCCAAATTACATCTTTGCTAATTAACTTGTTCCAAATTGTGATTATGTGATTTGATGGTTCAGCTCTAAATCACACTTTAAATATTTGCTACTGTCCTCACTGTTTTAGATGAAAGACGTATTTAATATTCTGCAAATCAGGCGTTGAGGATCAATCCTTCATTACAATGAAGTGCGATGGAGGATTAATCACACTTTGCTGTGATGGAGGAGGATGTTAATGTTTTGAGAAAGCTTATTCCTTCACTGGATGCTGGACTGTACAGTGATATATTCAAGACAGGAAATCACTAAACCACCGTGTTTGATATGAAATAATAACGTTCTTCTCCCTATTATGTTACTTTCTCCATCCACAAGCCTCTTATTTCCCATCTACTATTAGAGACTGAACGATATCTCCAACTCATCCTGGTTGTTAATCAGATGTTTTACTGTCAGAGCAGCGACCTCTGCTGCTCATTTCAGGGACCGTCGTCCTCTGGCTGAGCTGATCTAATGTCCCTTTGGCATTTTAGGCAGATATTTCTTTTCTTCCACTAATTAGCTGTCACATTATTCCAAATGGCCTCTGAAACATACGTCTGCCGTGTTTACATCGTGTTTATTTTATGCAATTTGCATTGCAAATTAAAACATTTTCAGCAAACCTTGACATTTCAGTTGGCAGTTTCTCAGTAGTGTTTTGTTACTTATGAACAACTGGCGTCTTATTATGTTATATTTTTAAGCGATATGTGCTTCATAGGAGTCAGTAATTGGTTGGGTAAGATAAGGTGAGCAGATGAGGTTTAAAGAGACGTGTTTGTTTTTCCTAATTCATTTGACTTTTAGACTAAAATTAGATGGAAAACGTAGGGATCCCTGTATGCGCTATTGTAGGATTGAGGTTCATTCTAAAAGGGCAATTATTGTCATTTAGTGAAAACATTCTGGTTGGACTGAATGACCCTTGTGTTGAGGGATCTGTTACCCAGAGATGGTACAGACACACACACACAGGTCCGGTGTGGCACAGTCTAAATGCTGGTTCTGGATTGTGAGTCAGTGGTTGGAGCAGGAAGGGGGCTGCTTTTCCTTCTCCAGATGCTTTTTGTATATGAAAGATAGCAAGAAAACACGTGAGCCAGCTCAGATCCTATGCATAGCTCTGCACATGCAGCTAAAACTATGACTAATAGAGATATAAACCCTACATGTTGTGGAGGTTTTTTTTCTTTCCACTGTGTTAGCACATGTTTATTCAGCAGCCCACCTCATCTTCATCATGAGTGCATCGCCAGCATTTTGAGCTGTAATTTGTGTGCATAATAAACCGGTTCAGAACAAAGAATCCAGGTTGAGAGTTGGCCTGACCTTTGATTCTGTGCTTTCCATTATTCAACAGAAACCGGAGGAAAGCTGACCACTGCTTATAGTGAGCAGAATAAAACAGGGATTACACGCTAAGCCCAGACTTTACCGAATTGACCCCGAGGTCGTGTATTGATCAATTCCTCTCCTCTCTGCAAACACGTCCTCTTGTCTTAATGTCAAAGAGCGGGATTTCTGTATTTTATCACTGTCCAAATCTGTCCACTTCACAGTAAGTTGCTTGTGATCCTGCCACTCAGCGCTCAGCGTGCAGAAATCCTTCACAGAGCCAGCAGCTCTGGAGTCCCATTCACCCATTCATTCACTCTGAATGAGGCTCTGAATGCCAGGTTTTATGAGTAAACTTGTGTTTCTGTGCTTGGATGTCTTTTGATCTTATCAGCTCTTCTACAATTCTCTCTTTCTTTCCCTCCGTCCTGCTTGTCTGACTCTGCGTGGCGGCGGCGGCTGTTTGATGATGGACAAGCGATAAAGTCAAATCATCTGCTATCATTTTCTGAAATGGTGACATGTCAGGGTTGTTTTCTGTTTCTCTGTTAAACCAGGACCGGGTTTTATCTTTATTTGGTGATTTGTTCAAGTGAAACTAAATTGCTGGTTTTGTTTTGCTTTTTAAAAAGATCTCAAAAGATGGTCTTCAAATTGTGAAATGTAGCTTCATAAAACATCCCATGATAAGAAACTTAGACCTGTAATTGATGGGGGCAGGGAGAGCAGACTTCAGGGCACGCTTCCTTTTCTGTTTGTGTGCATCTGTGGCATGCATCATGTTATTTACAGGGTGTTTAGAGGAATGTGGGATGTTAAAGGATGCATGAGGGTATGGAAGGACACCAGGGAATTGTCCTCACTCCCTCAGCCTGAAGCAGCACCTAATTAAGACACGGTGTGATGAGACAGGAGGCTGGCTGCGAACACTAATTGGACTAGAACCAGACATAATGTATCTAATGTGTCGCGGCAAAGGAACAAATGATGATTAAGCTGTTGCTGGTTTTGAAGCTGCTTTTTGGGTGTTTTTTTTTTTTTTTTTGGCCCATGTGTTTGATGACCTGTTTTCTGGGCAGGTTTGGTTTTATTTTCTTCGTGGACTTTCAGGCAGCTTAGCGGGGAGAACAATGGAGCTGTCGTGCCGGCTTAGCCGTGGAAGAGAATCAGATCCAGCCATTATCATCCGTCCTCCACCTCGCTCATCCCACCTCCCGCCCCTGCTGCATTTTAGCCCACATACGAAATTATACTCTTCCATTTGAGTATGTTGATTAGTGCAGAGGAGATATTAGGGTTTCATCCCTCCTGCGTGCCTAAAATGCCAGCTAGTCCCCTAATGGCCTTTTTATATAGGCCACATAAATCTCCGTCTGTCCCCACTGGAGGGCATAGCCCTTTATTGGCCCCAATCCATCCCCCGTGTGCAGGGCTTGTGATTGGTTAATGAGCTCCAGGAGGGAGCGGCAGGTCACTAAAGCATTCCCAGGCTGATACCCACAGTGACCCCCTTGCTTTCGGCCATACGCAGGGTGGCTTTAATCTCCGTAGGGTGCCAACATGGCATTAATCATGTAATTAGGCAGTGAGAATTAGATGATGTGGGTTTCATCTCATGCTCTAACAGTGTTCAGGGTTTAGGTGGGACTGGAATGCTGCTAAAGCAGGCTCTCCATAAGGAGGGTGACTCAGGGTTGCAACATAAATGCAGGGAATGTGATGAATTCATCTGAAACAGTCAAGGACAATGAGTTTATTTAGCTTTTTTGGAACCAAAGTGATGAAACCAGAAAGGTATTACTTTTTTTTTTTCTTTTTTTTTCTGTGCTGCCACGAAGTAATCCAAACTCACTAAAAAACTTGGTGAATGTTACGTCATCGCTGAAGTAAGAGCGCTGTGATCATGCTTCAAAACCAACACATCATACGTCTTCCTCAGCAGTGAAAGTTACTTTTTCGACTCCGCTGAGTAAACATATGAGGAGGTGATGTCATGGCTCACAAATGGTACATGCTGTTAGTGGTAAAGATCACAAATGACCTGCATGGTGAGGTAATGAGCTAGCCCACAAGCTACGCAATGTCCCCAAAAGACCAACAACGAGTGAAAAACATCAGTGCAGATCTGTCCAAAAGAAACATGAGGGTTCATCATAAGACAAAAATGTCCCTCAGATCTCTGTCTCTTGATAGCATATGTGAGTTTTGTCACTGCTGCGTTAGATTAAATCAGAAATTTGGTGGTTAGTCCGTGTGACAAATGAACAAAGCAGCGTTTGCCTTTGTGCCTTCTTCATGTGGGTTTTATGTAAGAGTTGAGCGGAGGAAATTGAAGTTGACAGTTATCAGTAACATCCAGGGAAGCAGCAGTCAGTGTTCCCTCAGTCATGTTCTTTGTATTTGCAGTAGACTTAGCCATTCATTGTAAATACAACAGTAGCAACACGATGACATCATGTGAGTGTTTTAAATGGGAAAAAAAACACATAAAACCACTATCACATCACGGAAGTGCTTGTGTTCAACTCAAATTTAGAACATTAAAGGAACATTTCAGTGTTTTCCTGCTCTACAGTATAGGATAAATCATAATTCTGTGTGCATCAGCGCTCTTACTCATTCAGGCTGCAGGCGGGGTCATGTTGCGTAAGTGTAGTATCCGTCTGTGCGCCGCTGTTTACAGGCACTACAAGAGAATCGCACGCTGCCAGCATAGATGCAACTACTCCGCAAATCACAACTCTCAGCCGGCTGAAAACCCCCACCGATTGGCTCAAACGAGGAAGTGAGGGGAGAAGGCAACATGGCAACCGAGTCAAAGACCTCCCGTGGCCATGTGACAACATCAGCTGTTGAGTAAAGAGACTCTGCTGATGAACATGTTAACAATATGCTTATGCGGTTCAGGAGTCTAAAAATAGTCACGAGGCTTGTTTTCTGAGAAGCAAATATTCTGCAGTTTGATGTGTTAGCTGGGAAAAAAAAGCAAAGACCCCAATCGGTGCACAAACACTTCCTGTAATCCTGCTAAAAGCAAGGAGCCGTGCAGTTGGAGCTACGTTCTAATTAAAGGACTAATAAAAAGCTTTCTGCAGCTGAATGAATATTTAATCAGCCAGAAAGCAGCAGTGCAAAACTGTGATGAAACACAAAGGAGAAATTAAACAGCAATTCATTAATTTAGCATATCAAAAGATCAAGTTGTGCTTTTTGGGGATGTTGTCGTCTGTGTGCATTAACTCTCACAGCACAGCAACAAAAGGCTAATTAAGTGTGTTGGAATTTTATTATTAGGGTTCCACACATCATTTCAGTAACTGATTGTTTGGCGTAATGTCTTCCGCTGCTTCAGAGCATTTGTGGAGTTTTTTTTTTCTCTTAGATCTACATTAATCAGCACTTAAAGACATTTGTATTCATATTTGTGCAGAGCAGAAAATGCGTCCAAATCCCACATCCGACTGTTAAAACCAGAGTAAAGTAGGATATGAAATGTGCAGAATAGAACATCTACATGGAAGATTTTTGCTGTTGTTTGAAATGTATAGTCTTTTAAACCGTCCCATGTGAACCATTTACGCAAAAAGTTGTCAAAACACTTCTTTGCACATATTGCAGATGTGCATTTGTCACCTGCATGTCAGCCAAGAATGCTTTCTTGTACAGTGTTCTGATGGATCATTGTGCCACAGAGGAGCCTCGTGGATCAAATGTGTTCATATGGGACCTTATGCATGGCTCTGGTAGTACAACTAGTGTTGATTAATCATATATCATATACACTTAGGACTTCCCCAGCAGTCAACTAGAACTGAAGAAGATGTTGAATGAAAGGTGAAATGTGTTAAAGAACCTAAAAGAGAAGTCCAGCTACCTTCTACTTCCATGACCTGAATGACTGAGAATCTACACAGACATGTTGAGAATTGTTATTCTCCTGCTGTGTTCGCTGAAGCACGTGTCCTGTGTGTTGTGTAGGAAATGTAAACAGCTCCGGAGGCGTACAGACCTCTGAATGTCCCTGTGTGTTGGCCTGTTGTTGCCGTCACTCTGATATCTGCTGCAGCAGGAGTCTCGCATGTCACTCGCCAGCAAAGGAGGGCAGGATTATCTGAGCAGAGCGGGCAGGCAGGGCCTCAGCCAGTTCCCGTAGTGTAGTGGTTATCACGTTCGCCTAACACGCGAAAGGTCCTCGGTTCGAAACCGGGCGGGAACAGCATGTTTGTTTTAAATCTTTAATTCAAACCCAGAAGAAATTGTTCCACTGGTTGTGTGATGTGTTAGAAGTGTTGCTTTTTATGCAGTGATTTTAATGGTTTATATAAAAGACTTCTTTAGGACAGACTGTACCAGGACAGAATACTAAAAACAAGAGGGCACAGCAGGACACAGAGGGGGAACATAAGGACGTTCATAAATACAAGGATAACACTAAAACCAGCATACAGGTGACTTTGTGTTGTGTGGGGCTGAACAACTCTATTCAATCCATAATCAAACTATAATACCCATAACAATGTGTTTAGGGTTTAGGGTTTAGACTCAGCACTAGTTCTTTTGTTCAAGTCTTGGGTAGCTGCACTATATCAGGATATTCTTGAAGATCAAATTCTTAGAAAAAGATTGACAACCCAAGATCCTTTTTTTTTTTACCTAGGGGGTCCTCTATGAAATGCTCTAAAGGCAAATAAAAGCATACAGACACTTGAGAGGAGTGTAATTCTCCTCTACCAAGTCCCTGGTTCATTCTTCGTAGCAAAGAAATGAAACGTGACCCAAGTGCCTGTTCCCCTGCACAGTTTATGTGAAAGAAACCATGTGGTAGCAAAACAGCATGACCCATCTCACCAGCTTTGTTCTGTCCCTGCAGATCAGTCAGGCCAGAGGACAGACTGTATGTACATCCTGCCTCACTGCTGTACCAGTTTTCCTCTGAACTCAAGACTCTTGATCCTCATATTTCTGCCTGTGTTCTGCATGACTGACACATTTCTACAATTGGGCCATAAATTCTAGCAGCCACATGCTTCCTGTTGCGCTTGTTTCAAACGCGCACATGAGTGAATGGATGAAGATGAGTGTGGGTCAGGTTTGTCGTGCCGTGAGCTGGGTTGGGAGAAAGTCGATGGGCAGCACAGGAACCAGCTGAGCCTGAGATGTGGTGCAGAACAATGAGTTCTCATGATACAAAATGCTCATTCCTCAAACATACAGTACATTGTATTCTATGACAAGAATAGAAGCGCGTGTGTGTGTGTGTGTGTGTGTGTGTGCGCCGCCTGGAATGCGTACAAATCAGTGTACACAACTGTCACCAAGATTTAAAGTATTTCTGCGCTTCGCTTCAAGCTGCAGGCCGCTCTGGCGTCTTAGTCATATATCCTTTATATGTTTCATGATCCCACAAAGGGAGCTTTGACTCGGGAGCGATGCGATCCTAATCAGAACCATATAGGCCCGAGGATGTCTCCTAAAAAAAAAAAAAAGATGGTTTCTGACTTTTATCTCTTCCTTGACATGTGCATGAATGTGCACACATGTAGTAAATGTTTGTGCGCTTCTAAATCCCCCACAAAGAGGAAGGAAATTGGTCATTTAAATATTTTGTTGTTCCGGACTGAGATGAAAAGGGAGTTAATTCTCAGTAAAAGGTCCTAATATACAGTACATCAGTCACAATAAAGGCTTTCAAATGTATTTTCCTTAAAAAAAAAAAAAGCCCACTGATGATTCCATTGTGTCAGTGTGGCTTTGATTAAAGTACAAGTTTTATTACCTCCTACTGATACTTACTGGGGCTGACAAGCAGAGCAACATGACTGGATGCCAACTTGTTGCACTCCAAACTCACGCTGAGTACAAGTCAAGCCTGTTCTCCTCTGAGTCCTGCTTGTTCATGGTCTGCATCACTCTCACTTCAGTCAGTCTCCTGTTCTTCCCTCTGATCTGCCACTTCATCATCGTCCTCTTCATGTTCAGCCTTCACGTCAAGTGGATTCTCCCACAGTTCCTCCATATTGCTGCTGGAGAGGATCTGCTGCTTCCCCCGACTGAGCCGTCACTCGGGATCAAAAACCTGAAATCGTCCGGCCTCGCCGCTCCACCGGCTGACTGGACGCTTCCTCTGACAAGTCACAACTCATTTCCACCGAAGCTGTTTCTCGTCATGCAACCCTTCTGCCTCTTTGTGACTGTAATATTTAGTATAAACCAAGTCAGTCAGCTTCACGCAGGCCTCCTGAGCCGAAGGAACTCATTTCCCAGGACAGCAAAAGGGGAAAAGGGGGGCAAGTTTAATAAAAGGGAGCCCAGTTGAGGATGCAGGTCCGAGAAAGGTCACCGAGTGTAGCCGCTGCCTGTAATGGATCCTCTCTGTTTTTACAACCCTGTTTGAGTACATTCATTTTTAATCAGGTTTTTTAGAAATTAGCAGAGTAATAGGGAGGAAATATGTGGGGGGAATATTTTTCTGTTTTTTTCTCTGTGGGGCTACTTGAAGGGGCTGCATCAGGCTGCGGTGAGTCCTGGATCTGTGCCCGGTTCCCCTGGCAGTAGCTGTGTAAAGACCCAATTGCGGTGATTACCTGTCCCACTCCTCAAACCCGAACCCTGCTGGGAAAACAGGCTTTAACGATAATAGGAATGCGTGAAACCGGTGCCAAATGGCCTTTTTACGAGGTAATGAAATACACTCACTGAGCACTTTTAATGGTTACAGTCTAATGCTGACAATAAGAGGAGTGTGCTACCTTTGTGCTCACCCAACAAACATTATTGTCCTCTGAGTCGAGCACATTGCCGTGCTGAGTGGTAATGATACAACTGCGCAGACAGACGCTGAAACAGCCTATAAAAAAGGCATTAGCTCTTGCGGCCTTACACACCGGGAGCAGACTGCGGGAGACTTAAAACAGCCACAAGCTGCCGTCTACGATGCCTCAGAGGGCATCGTGGGACGTGTGATCCAGACTCGGAGAATGCGTGCAGTGAAGTAGGCCAAGTGTTGGAGCCGATCCGGAGCCCTGGATGGACCCCAGAGAGAACACAGAGGGGAATGTGGGGAACAGAGGTGGCATCATTCTTCCCCAAAGCAGACGTAGTGACTGTGTTGTTGTAAAGCGGCTTCACTCAGGCTCCGGGGACGTCTGGACTTCGAGTCTAGTTAGAAAAATTGGGGCAGCTCAAAGGTGAACTCTGGAAGATGATGAATATCAAGTTTCAAAGAGCTCACCTTGAAACTCTGTCAGCTGCAGCTTTACACCGTTGTTCCCTGTAGTTTTAGATTAGTCAGTGAAGCATTACTCAATCTTCTCATGAGATAACGTTCACAGAATCCACCGGTTGGGGGGGTCAGCTGAGGCCACAAGCCAGTTCCCATAGTGTAGTGATTATCACGTTCGCCTAACACGCGAAAGGTCCTTGCTTCGAAACCGGGCGGGAACAGCATGTTTCGTTCCTTCTTGCTTGACCAGAATTAATCTCATAGAGCAGCACATGTCTAAGCTGGTGTCCATTCATTCCAACATGAGGATGAGTTGCCGGAATCTTTGGAAAATCAAAGGTTTCTTACAAGTAGCTCCACAGTACCTGCTGTAATTACCCTAAAGCTGAAGTAATAGATTACACTTGATTTAGTCTCACTACCTGCCTTCTTTGGTTTATCAGTGGGATTTGTTTTAAGTGAAATTTGAAGAGAGAAATCTGAGCCATCAACAATCCTGTCTCCCTCTCACACGCTGCTGCTGCTTCACTTTTCACTTCACCACTTGTCTGCATGGGAAATCCAGTGTTCAGAAAAAGATGGAACATAATTGCTGCTGTTTGGGGGGAAATGAAGACAAATATAGAAACATTCCTGTGGATTCATGTGGGAAAAGAATTTCACTCAAAAACTCGTTTTGTTGGCTCAAGTCTTGTGCCCTCAAAGCACCGCTGTGTCGTTGTTGGAATCTAGGAAACTGCTCTTTCTTTTTTTTTCTTTTTTTTTTTTTTGAAGGAAATGTACAGTTCCTGAAGCTCTGCCGTTGTTTCCCATAATGCAATCATGCAGAAATGTGACCGCTATCTTATGATGTGATTAAGCAGTGTCCTCCTCAGGGAAAATCCCCGTATGAATTTAATCACGTCTCCTTATTTGGTGAAAAACGTATCGTAACCGGTGCGTCTGTGTTGTGTCTTTCAGCTGGATCCTCAGACGGTGCAGTCCAAGAACTGGCACATGGACGTGATAGAGATGAACGGGGTGAGACGCAGTTTCAAATCTGAGTTGAGATTAAGGCACATATACTGTAAATGCAGAAATGTGATGTGTTATGTTTGGCAAAGGAGACGTAATGTTGGTTATAGATTGTTAAACCTTATCTACACAAAAGAGATAAAATGATTTGTTTAAAGATGTTGGGTAATGTAATCCCATAGATGGCTCAGTGTCAAAACCTCCGAAAGACGATAAACAATCAAAAAAAGAAGTGGTTTATGAGGGTCCCAGAGACGTCAGCTGTGTTTGTTCATCTCCAGATCAAAGTGGAATTCTCCATGAAGTTTACAAGTCGGGACCTCAGCTTGAAGAGAACGCCGTCCAAAAAACAGAGCGGGGTGTTTGGAGTCAAGATCAACGTGGTCACAAAGTGAGTAAATCCCTGTTGGGGCACGCAGCTTTTTTCACATTCATTGATTTATATCTGAGCAACCGAAGTTCCTCTCATACTGTCATGGATGGTTTAAGGAGCAGAAGCGTTGATGAATCTGTAGCTTCACTCACATCATCGGAGAAGTAACTTCTGTTCATGTCCACAGGCGCGAGCGCTCCAAGGTGCCTTACATCGTCCGTCAGTGCATTGAGGAAGTGGAGAAGAGGGGGATTGACGAAGTGGGAATCTACAGGATCTCAGGGGTGGCCACCGATATCCAGGCCCTCAAACTAGCATTTGACACCAGTAAGACTCGCTCGCTGTCTTTGAGTCTTCTGTCCTTTTATTTTTGTGTCCTCCCGTCATCGTCTCTGCAGATCAGCGACACTGTTTCACATTTTAACTGCTCTCACAGTGCACACAAAGACACCAAGCAGGAACAGGGTTTAAAGCAGGGAGACTTTCTGAGGCTTCAGATGTGTTCGGGGGTTAAAAATGGAAGCTGGTATAAGACGATAAAAACAGAGCCAGGTGAGCTGTGTGCGACGAGCCAGATGGATGATGGCTGCATATTACCACCCGTCTCAGAAAGTCAAGAACACTAAATCTTAATCTAATTATGTCTAAATGTGAATCCTCGCATTAACTTGAAAGGTCCGTGACCTTTTCCTCAGTCGGAAACTGTCAAACATGCGCTCCTTTCTCCTAATCTGAGGGCATCAGGTCTGAACCAGCAGCCCACTCGCTTCCTCGTAAAAGTCGGTCTCACCAGATCTGACCTAGTAACGTTTCCTTTTCATGGCACAGGTCTGAACTGCTTGTAGTCACATTAACAGACACACACACACACTCAAGCAGCAGTGCTTGAGGTTGCGTGACATGACTCGGGGAAGACTTTTTCCACATTTCAGTGCCAATATTGAGGCAGAGTTTAAAAACACAGCTTGCTGCCAGAGTGACAAAACACTTGTCTCATTCACATTAATCTGCAACTTGAAGTGTCCATAAAAATAAAACTTTGCTGCCTTGAGTGTGTCACAGGTCACGCTTGAATCTGCACTACACAGTATATCACAATAAAACCCTCAACATATCATGATATCGTTAAACGCAGACGGAAAGCTGCTCTAAAAAAGAAAAATCCGAAACAATAGCAGCGTTTCCATCTAATATGTTCATGCACACGTATCATAAGCGATACTGCCACCTTCTGGCGACGCAACACAGCCCAGTTAAGTAGCATTTTCTTTTAGACATTTTTTGTGACATTTTGCTTCAAATTTGCACACACGCTGCAGTCAGAATGCCCAGAAAATGAAAAAAAAGGTTGACTTGCACCAAGAAGAGTTCTGGAATAAGATGTTCTTCATGTAGAAGGGTCTCCTCTGTACCTCTGTACCCTTCATAGCAACTTAAATGTACAATATGCAAAGTAACTTCAGCAGAAATTGAAAAAAAAAATTCAAAAAATGAAATTTATAAACCTTTATGTGAACTTTCCCTGGAAACTTACCAACACAAACAGGACACAGTTTGTGGTCACCAAGCATATTCACCTTCTGAAGCTTCAGGAACATGTTAGCATTTACCTCCTGTGTTTCTCATAACTTTGCTGCAGTCAGGAGTTCAGTATCTGAGGCCTTCGCTGTGACTCTTTCAAAAGAGATCTGAAGGAACTGACAGTCAGAGACAACGTTCAGGTTCTACGTTACATAAGAGCCTCTGTGCGTCCGGTCACGGCTGCTTTTCCTTCGCCGAGCGGAGCCTCCATCACCTCTGATTTCTCCGTGTAATATTCGGCATCTGTCCCCCGTCTGGATGCGGGTTTATTGAGAGATTACATCATTCGTGGAGACGGCGAGGGGAGAGCAGCTGTGTTATTGTGAGACTTCAATAATGCGGTGTGTTCCGATCCGCAGATACCAAAGATATCCTGGTGATGCTGAGCGACATGGACATCAACGCCATCGCAGGGACGCTGAAGCTGTACTTCAGGGAGCTGCCGGAGCCTCTGCTCACCGACCGCCTCTACCCCGCCTTCATGGAGGGCATAGGTGTGACCTTACTGCCCTTACCTTTAACCCAGGAAGTGTGTGTTTGTCATCAGTGGGCCGTTTTACAAAAAGGGAGTTATAGTTGAGCTGCTGGAGAAGATGAGGGAAGTTAAAAAGCTGTCTTACCATAATTGGATCTGACGTCTCTTTCCTCTCCCCGGCAGCGCTCTCAGACCCGGCAGCCAAGGAGAACTGCATGATGCACCTCCTGCGCTCCCTGCCGGACCCCAACCTCATGACCTTTCTCACTCTGCTGGAGCACCTCAAACGGTACACAAACACAAACCCCCCTCAGATGTAGGCGATGCTCGGACACATGAAGGAAAAACATTAGAAAATGTCTCAGTGTGCTTTGGAAATGTAACCCTCTGAACCCCAAGCTGCAGTTTCTGGGTGGTTTTCTTTAAGCTCCTGTCACATGTTTCCTCACTGTGAGCTCATTTTCACTGTTATATGAAGTTTTGCAACTCTATGGAAAAAGAACAATTAAGGCAAGTCGACAAAATGTCTTCTGTGCAGTATCATAAAAAAACGGCCAAAAATTAAGCTGATTTTTTGTTTGTTTTACAAAAATTGAAATCAACATCTACAAAGTTTTCCTAAATGCCCACAGGTGTTCCCAATACTGGGAAAAAAATGTGGGTTCCACATGTTACAGATCAGCGATTTGAGGCTTTTTGACTCGACCTGTTTACATTTTTATGACTTCTACTAACCAGGTGTTTTTCACACGACTCTGTACATCAACTCTAGAGGGATATTTTACCACAATGAATGCATCCCCCAGCAACTTCCTGACAGATTGATCCTCTGTACGCTATTTTTTATTCATACTGCTTTTTTTTAAAGTTTTATTTTGCTCTTAATCTCGCCTCTCATCTCCTGTCTGTATAAACACAACCTGCAGCTCACCCACAGAGTCTCCTGATTTGTGTCACATGTTGCTCACAGCTGAGTGAATCACGGCTTCTCAGATCTACACGATCTTTTGTGTTTTTTCCTAGAATCTAGCAAACAGTTTAGTCTTGGTGAATTGTTAAATGAGACACGTAGAATCCGGTGGTTTTGATGGAATATAACAATTTTAAGCTTATTTTTGGTTCCTGACAGAACTGTGTCACGCATGTACAATTCCAAAATCCTTTTTTTTTTCCGTTTCTGGCTCTAATAAATTGTGTATAGTTGTTGTTTTTTAAGAGAACGTGCTTTTAGAGCAGGTTTTGGGGTTGAGAGGGTTAAATGAAATTGTGGACAAAGTGTGTTTTTATAGCATTTATTCTTCTCTATTCCCTTCATTGGCCTCTATTGTTCTAAAGCTCTTTTTATTTGGTTTAAATTTCCTATGAAGAATATATATTAAAAAAAAACTTCGTCTTTATTTAATTATCTTTATTTTTCTGTAATATCAGGTGTACCTTTAACATTGTGGACTTTATTCCAGTTATCTAAGTCGAGCCCTTTTCTCCCCTCACATACATTTTCACTGCTATTTCTCCAGTGTTTATTTGTCATGTTACGCCCCTGGTCGTCTCTGCCGTGCATTAACCGGCTGCTCTGATCCTGACGGGCCTGTTTGCTGTTTGTTCCTGCAGCGTTGCTGAGAAGGAGCCCATCAACAAGATGTCCCTTCACAACCTGGCCACCGTGTTCGGCCCGACTCTGCTCAGACCCTCAGAGTCCGAGAGCACGAAGGGCCAGCACATCACCTCCGCCTCCGACATCTGGTCGCATGACGTCATGGCGCAGGTACACACATACACATTTTGGTTTGGAGTCTACACAGTTTTTTTTCTTGCCCTTTTGAATGGTGAATACAAATCTAGCCATTCAATAAAACCCTCACCGGTGTTTCTGACTGCGCTGCCTTCTCCCACAAATCTCTCTCTGGTGTCTTCTGCACCTTTGGTAGTTAGTAAACAGTCTTATTCTTAGAAGCTGGGCTCCCTCGGTGAGTGTGTGCAGTAAATAATAGACCGGTGCGTACATGCGTATTTCCTCGGTCGCTGCACTCGTTTTCCGGATGAATTTTACTCCCACGTCGCCAAGTGACCCATGTCACTGCGGTCTATTCTCCCAGCTGTATTTAGGCTGCAGGCCATCCATTCATCTCTGCTAAGAGATGAGTTTCCTGCACAAATGTCTTTTTCTTGGCAGAATAAACAACATCCAGAGTAAATCATCATAAAGGGGGCAGCGTGCACATGCAGGAGGTCCCGTATGTCCATTACACTGAAGCTGAGTGTTTGTATTGAGGCTTATTTCAATTCTAAATGTTTGTTGCATGAAGTATACAGAATGTCAAACCTCAAAGGAAGAAGCTTTCACTGCCTTATCCTGAAGTTACCCTCATGTTAGCGAGTGGCTTCTCCCTCATCTTTCTAAGAGAAACCCACGAGGCAGTCATATTTTAGTGCTCTGAATCACAGAGTTCTCACTAGGAAGGGATTATTCTGCTGAGCTGCTAGAAGCTTAAAACAAACTGCATATCAAATTAAATTCTCCACAAAACTGATTAAAGAGGAGATTCGTGGAAACATGAGGAGCAGAGTGAGGAGGAACATTGGACTGATTCACCTGTTTTCATAAAGCTAACGTTCCAGTCTTACAGGTCAGAGGTGGTTTTCTATCCAGAACCTGTCCTCCAGTCTGAATGAAGATTTATTAAAACGTTCATTTACCACATTAGTTAGATCAGGTGTAAGGATTTTTAACTTGGTGCTCAGCAGCAGCCTCTGAGCGATGAACAAAGGAAAAACACAGTTACAGACTCATGAGAGCAAAATGCTGAATACGGCAGCAGTTGAACATCAAAGCCGTCTGCTCATGAGCCAGACCTGCTTAAATATTAACAAAAACATTTAGCTCCGAACTAAATCTGCCACAATGGTCATAATTATACAGCAGCAGCAGAACAGTCAGTTCTGTGATGGTTTGAGGACTCACAGTTCAGTGGTCCGACAGCAAGGTCGCAGGTTTATTAATGCTTGTGTTAAGAAAGACTCACACATATGAGAGCTACTGTAGCACAAACACCTGAAAGC